GTTACTGCAGCTCGTTACATCAGCTCGTTACTGCAGCTCGTTACATCAGCTCGTTACTGCAGCTTTTTACATTAGCTTGTTACATCAAGCTCGTTACTGCAGCTTGTTACATCAGCTCATTACTGCAGCTTGTTACTGCAGCTCGTTACTGCAGCACGTTACATCAGCTCGTTACTGCAGCTCGTTACTGCAGCTCATTACATCAGCTTGTTACTGCAGCTCGTTACTGCAGCTCGTTACATCAGCTCATTACTGCAGCTTGTTACTACATCAGTTACAGTGTTTGTCAGTATATGTGTGTGTTTGTGTGTGTGTAGACTCACACTTTGCGAGACTTGTATCTGCAGGCGAGCAGAGAAGTGATTCCAACCATCAGGACGATGAAGAACAGTCCGATGCTGACGCCCTCGATGACGCCGCTCAGGGGCTCTGCACAACAACAATGTCTTTCATTCACCCATCACATATTTTCTCTTATTCACCAGGTTTTGTGCTCACCAGCCTCTGTGACCACGGGCAGCGACAGGTAGGTGTCAGCGTACAGAGGAGACGTGATGCTGGAGTCGCTCTTCTCATCGTCAAACAGCTGAGTGAAAGCTCGAACACTGAGTCTAAAGGACACACACATGTTTCTTTCTTTACATGATCTGTCAAATCTGTCCACAACCCCAGGGAGAGACCTCTGTCATGTCTGTCTCCTTCTGTCTGTCTGAATCAAAGGATTGGCTGATCTCACATTTATCTCACATTGTTAAAGAAAGAGATGAAAAACACTCCTGAATCCTGAGTCCTCTCTCTACCCTCGTCCTATCCTTCCACCAAGTAAACAAATGTCTGACTCACTATTTGTTCTTGTTTTACTTCTTCAGTACCTGTAGGAGGTCTGAGGTTTCAGTGGTCCATCACAGAAGTGGATCAGGTCTCTCTCTGGGTCACAGGCCCCCCCCAGCGAGTCCATCCCCATCCCCAAACTGATCTGGAGGCTGTGGTGTCCATCGGGGCCCTGGGTGCAGTGACTGGGGAAGTAACTGGTCTGATAGGACTTGATGGAGCTGTTGGACCTGTAGTCCAGGTAGGAAGGCAGAGGATGCTGCTGCTGCGGCTTCACGTTATCAAAACCTGACACACATTGACACAACAAGCAGGTCATCAGCAGGTTTATGTGATGTCTGTCGCTTGTTTTCATCTTTTACAAACATTACAGAACAACAGAGTTTTGATGTTGTGAGCTGATTGGGTCGTATCCAAGGAGGTGGAGCCAAGAAGAGAAAAAACGTAACCGTCAAATCATGAATAAAGGCTGCACTGCCTGAGATCGAATCAACCAATGAACTGTGAGCTAGGCTCGGCAGGTGTAAGGGTCAGTACCTTCGGACTCCGTCACCACCACAGTGAAGAACCTTATGGCTCCGTTGACGTCACTGAACCAGCTGCAGTTAAATGTGAAGCTGATGGATGACCTGGTGACCACGGCAGACTTATCGCTGACCCGGACACTGAGCGGGGGGGCTGGTGGACCTGCAGAGTCATGTTTGTGAAAACATTATCAGTTGTTCTGATGCTGTTTACACATAGCCCTGCTCCTTCCACTTACTGTCGATCATTGTGACCACGCTGTCCTCAGCCTCTTCGCTGGTCGTGGCATCTGAGATCACCTTCACGGAGACGGTGTAGCGTTTGTGGGGCTCCAGCTGAGTGATGACATAGGTGGTTGAGTTTCGTCCAGTGCGTCTGGAGTAGACCAGTGTCTGGGAGTCATGACGGAGACACTCAACAGTGTATGAGTCATAGTCGGCTACCGGAGGCCCCCACGAGCAGGAGATGGAGGTGGAGCTCTGAGGGTGACAGTGGAGGCTGTGGACTCGCTCTGGTTCTACAACAGGAGACAAGGACAAAGTGTCTGAACGTAACATCAGTCACTAATGAGAAGAAAACTCTGTTCATCATGTAAACATCGGATTCTTTTATGCAACTTAAAATCCTTTTAAATAATATTGATGAGGTTCATGTTTATTGATGGGTTATGATTCATACAGGGTTGGAGTGAGGGCTCTGTATCGTTCAAAAATATCCAATACTGGAACAGATCGGTATTATGGAATTTTCATAGACACTGTCTCGTGTCCTCTCTGGGGCAGAGTGCAACAGGCTGTTGTGTTTAGGAAGTGCGAGAGCTTGGCGAAGGTCAAAGCCTTCACTCCCTAGACATCACAGATATGAGACTGCGTAATCAGGCAACACTGTCTCCAGAACCAGAAACTACATTTGATTGTTTAGGAACGAGCAGACCCACAGATTAAATGATCTGTTGGGATTTAAAGTGTGACTGCAGGAAAGCAGACTTCAGAATATGAGAGAGCATCATGCTCAGATGTTGTGTGGATGAATTCTGATTTTCTCCTTGGTCAAGCATCAATAAATATTTCAGCATAAGACGTCAAAGGACTCCTGAACGCTTTCTTCATTGATGAGGTGACCATTGATCAGCAGATTTTCCACAACAATCGGTACAGATGCCTGGATTTCGATACCGATACTTTTTTCAGTACCAACTTAAACAAAAAATACATTAAACATTATGGTTCAAACATAATGGTTTTATTTTCAGCTCTTTGTTATTTTAATTACTTAAAATATAAACCTATTGACCACAATGTGGTTAAACTTCAGTTAACTGGTTTCAGCACATTAGCATTTTTCCACTCAAAACAGTTTTACAATCATGTAATGAAAATAAATTTACACCATTTGAAGTTGTCTGTTAACATAATATCAATAAATAAAACAAGCGGCAATGAGCGGGTTTCAGCTCTCTTGCACTCAAAGGAAGCTCAGCTTCTAAAATGCATGGTTGAATTCACTTATTGTAGGTCTATATGTATTATTGTATAAAGGCGTCAGCTGATATGTAATAATAATGTAAGAATGTTTTTGGTTAATGGCGGCCATGTTTGACCAATCCTGCTCGTTTATAAAAGAAAAGTGTACCTCAGTCTCACAATGCTTTCTACCAAGTTTGTGTTGATGGGATGAAAAAGTAGACATTACTGTTTCTCATTTGATGCAAATTAGCAAAAATCCAAAACGACGGATGGTCTTAATTAAAGCGCCACTATGAGGCCGATTTGGCTCTAATTTGTTGGGCATTACTTGTGCATCATTTGCAGTGGATGTACCTATTGTTATGTTTCCAGCCCAAAATATGTCAAAGAACACAAGCCGGCCTCTGGCTGATGGTGTCCCCGGCGGTAGAAGAGGCAAACACAGGATTGTCACCATGGTTACAAGTCCGAACACCAGGTCACTGGATTGACTGAAGTCAGGGTAGATGTTAGACATCTGTAAAACCTGTTTTTCTTTAGGCTCCTTATGTCCATCTGTATTATCAATGAATCAACATTTCATTTGTTGTTCTTAATCATTTATTCACTACATCTTTTTATTTTGTCTTGAATATCTTCTGATTCCTCTCATCTTTCTTATCATTCCCCATACATTACTTATAGGAGAATAAAATTCCATCCACCCTTTCCTCCTTGCTGTCCTCACAACTTTTCCTTTCCTTGCTTCTATGTTTTGATTTAGGTCTATTTCCTTACTTCTTTAGCTGTACTGAATATCCACCAAGCCTCTCTGTCTACCTGTACCTAAACAATAGATCACAACCAATTGTTGAATCTTCTCATTCTTCGCAATCACATATTCCTAGCACCTCTCTTGAAACCAGTGTCAAATCTAGTGCTGAGCCGTTACCTGTGTGTACGCCTATTCTTGTTCCTCTACTAACATTAATTAAGACACACCAAGGTGCATCTTGAAAAGATGGTGAACTGTCCTTCATTTGTCCATATTTCTCCCTCTTTCCCTTCACTACTCTAAATGGCATAATCTCCTTGATAAATAAAAGTAGTTTTATGTTGCATTGTAAAGCAAGAAGTATAATATTGCCAACCTAGTGTCCGTTTCTGTAGTATTTGTAACTATTAACATGACCCTTCCAGCTGTTTGTCATGTTGCCTTCATCTGTGACGTTTTCCATCGGGGTCAAGGAATAGTGGTTAGGAAAGGAGATGATTTAGTGGTTAGGAAAGGAGATGATTGAATGGTGAGGAAAGGAAATTCCTACACTTATGAAAAAGATTCTACACTGTGTGAAGCATGACTCTTCATTTTGAAATGATCTGACATGAGCTGCTGCCACCTACTGGTTCGGATGCTGTATTGGATGGGTGTGCTGTGGGTGGGCATAGCCCCAGGCTCCGTGGCTCCGCTGACCGTGCGGAGGATGAAGGTGTAAAGTCGTCCAGGGAACATGTTTCTCAGGATGCGGCTGCCAGACGTCCGGCTGTGGTACGGGTTGATGACGGACAGCTGGTCCCCAGGGGTCCACTGCAGGTCAAAGTCATCATAGTCGGAACCTGCGGGGCCACTCCACGTGATCTCCAGCGATGTGTTGGTGACCCCCCCAAACAGGAAGGAAGTTGGAGGTCTCGGAGCTTTTGGGGGGGCAGAGAGGAAGTGACATTGAAAAAATGTTTTTTTACCTTTCAGCAAACAATCTGAGGAAAAAGTATGAAAAAATCGAAATGATTGTTACAATAAAAAGAATAGCCATAATGATCCAGTGTGGTCTCACCAGTCCGGCCTATGGCAGACGCTCGGTTGCTCTGCTCTCCGCTCAGACTGAGGACCTCAGCTCGGTACAGTCGTCCTGGGACCAGATGTGAGAAGACGTACTCTGTGACCTCTGACCCAAGATGTTGCTCAGCTTGGCGTGAGTCGTTTGGGTCATAGAGAGAGAGAAGGAACCCACTCAGATCACCGGCTCCACGTTTCCACTTCACCCTCAAAACATCAGACTGGTTTCCACTGCGAGTCGTCAGAGAGAGAACAGCTGCTGGAACTGAGGAAAAACATAGTTCTAACTCCAGAGACAGAATCCATCAATCATTACCTGTCACCTGTCCACCCTCTCACCTGTCCACCCTCTCACCTGTCC